GGGCAAAGCCCTACTGGAAATTTATTAAGAGGTAAATAAAATAGAGTAAAAACACAGGTTACAAAGCAGAAAACAAACGGGGGAACTCAGGGAACCAAGAAAGAAAGAAAAGATTGAGGGACACCAGCAGAGAAGACCTGAACAACGGACTATAAAAGGAATCTAGCCATAACACAAAAGAAGGTTTAGAACTGCTCTTAATTCTAAAGCAAAGCAAAGAGAGCTCCTTTCTGAAGTTGGCTTTGCATTTCTGAACACTCGGTTGCAGTCCTTTAAAGATGGGGTCATTCCTCTCTGTCAGATAGTCCAACATAACAAAATGAACACCTCCATGAAGAATCAATAATTGAAAGTAGTTCTGAAGTTCTCAACTGCAAAGAACCTTGTTGGGTTTCCAAGTGGCTGAAACGATAGAATGTTCCAGCAAGCTAAGGCAAAAGGGCAAAGGAAGAACAGATGCTCCACTATCTCTTCTAAGTTTGTAGCACAGAGGACACAATTATAGCTTTCTAATAACATATTCTTTCTTCTCAGGATGTTTCGGATACTTAATCTGTCCTGAAGGAGTAACCAAGAGAATACTTTATGCTTTGGCTAACAAGAGGATTTCCAGAGCCACATAAAAGCTTGATGTGCCTCTCCCTGCCAAGAAATGGAAATGTAGGATTTTGAAGAAGAATAAGCTTGTGATCCCCATATGTAGCTCCAGACATCCTTCTCTTTAGTTAGAAATAAGTTTTCCACTAGCAAGTTAACCTGCTGGCCACCATTTTCAAATTAATATGATAATACTGGGAGGTAGAACATGCGATAAAGATTTCGTTTCAAAGGTTATGGGTGTTAGCTAGGGTGTTGGGATGGCTGGCTACGGTAGCGAGTTATTTTGTCCATGGTGAGCGGCTCGGTATGTATGAGTGACGAGGTGTGTATGTTTTTAGTAACAAATAAATGAGAACTGTTGGTAGAGTGTATTTCTTTACCCAATATTTTTTAGAAGATTCCAAAACCGGCTTTTAGAACTCAATTTTTTAGATACGTTGGAGATACTCGATCTAAAGTGGGTCTTGCTGGAACTACCTTTCCCTAACCTTCCGATCTCCCTATTCTCTTGGTCTCCAATGAACTCTCTGATCCTCTCGTCGCCTCCTCCCGCTCCATGCATTTGTCGGCCAAACTACCATCCTAGACGAAGCCCCGCCAGCCAAGGGTGCCATCCTAGATGTAGCCTCAATGAGTCCTTTGTACTACCATATAGTTTCTATGTGCATTTATTGTTATGTCAACTTAGCTTTTTGCTGATGTGGTAAGAGCGTTATTGTGGAGAGAGAATTGGAGAAACGGTTTCTAATCAAGAAATGACAAATTCGTGAGGATCCAAACACGAAGAAACAAATGAAAGTACGTTGGGGCCGGCACCATCCCCACGCTCTCAGATCTCATGACTCCTCCTATCCTACCCATCACCATGGCCCACCCCAGCTCGCCGCGCTCGCCTGACGTGCGGCCATCTGCTGTCGCCACCCCACCCCGACTCGCCGCGCCCACCTGGCTCATGCGTGGCCGTCCGGCAATGCCATCCCACCTTGAAAGGTCCTAAATGGCTAGAGGGGGTGAATAGCCTATAAAAATTTCTACAAACACACTAGAGTAAGAGGTTAGTACACTAAATGGTGAAATACAATTTTGCTCTAGCTCTACGAGGGTTACAAGCCACCTATTCAATAATTCTAGTTGCTATGATCACTAGGCACAAACAATGGCTACGTCACTACTCACTAAGAGCTCTCAACAAGTCTACACTAAAGAGCTCCACTAGGTGATACTAAACTAGCAAGCAAGACAAGCTCTCAAAACTAATTACACTAAATAGTTTGACAACTAGTTTGCAAGGGATGTAAAAGAGTGAGTATGGTGATTATACTGTCGTGTCGAGGAATGAACCAATCACAAGATGAATACCAATTCAATCACTGGGAGAATACCAAAGGGCAAGAGACAACCAATTTTTCTTCCGAGGTTCACGTGCTTGTCGGCACGCTAGTCCCCGTTGTGTCGACCAACACTTGGTGGTTCGGTGGCTAATAGGTATCACACACATAGCCCACCACAAGAGGCGCCGCAAGAACCTACCCACAAGTGAGGTAACTCAATGACACGAGCAATTTACTAGAGCTACCTTACGGCTCTTCGCCGGAGAAGGTGCAAGACCCCTCACAATCACCGAAGCCGGCCACAAACAATTACCAACATGTGCCGAAGCTCCTCCGCTGCTCCAAGCCGTCTAGGTGGCGACAACCACCAAAAGAAACAAGAAATCCGCAGCCACAACGATCCCCAAGTGCCATTAGATGCAATCACTCAAGCACATGCACTAGGAATCACTCACAATCTCACTATGATGATAAATCAACGATGGAGATGAGTGGGAGGTGTTTACTTAGGCTCACAAGGATATCAAGTATGTCAAAGTGCCAAGAGAGTGAGCCCTAAGCTGGCCAAGAACTATATATAGAACCCCTTTGGCTCAAAGAGCCGTTGGGAACTCGCAGACCTAACCAGACTCACTGACCGGACGCACCCCAGCGTCCGGTCGGCTACGTTCGGTCAGCCGATGCCTGCCATGTGTCCTCCCTTTAAATGTCATCCGTTCATCTCTAACGGCTAGCTCCCGATCGCGTGAATACTTAAGTTAGGACCGGACTCACTCCTTGATTGACCGGACTATGGAGTACACGACGTCAGGTCACGAACAGAAAGGTTCCAGAGCTGATTTCCATTGACCGGACGCGTTAGGTCAGAGACGACCGGACGCGTTAGGTCAGAGACGACCAGACGCGCCCGTGCGTCTGATCGCGCCACCGCGCTTCCTTGCAATTTGTGACCGGACGCGTCGGTCAGTCCTGAGCCAGCGTCTGGTCCTTCTACCCGCTCTCGAACAAGTAGCACCCCTGCTTATAACTGATCGGACGCTGCCTAGGGTCAGGTCCCGTGTCCGGTGCAGCATCCGGTCAGTGACCGACGCTGCCTTTTCTTTTTCTATCTCCTCAACCACTTCGCCCTTGCTTCCAACTTGCTAACCACAAAGCGTAGAACTTGTGTGCACTTGTGTTAGTATTTTTAAAGCATTTTACAAGGGTCAAAGTTAGCACACCTGGTTCCTAAATGCAATGCATGAATCATGTCACCTAGTGGCACTCGATAAACCGTTTAGCCAAAGATTTCCCCTCTTCATAGTACAGCTATCGATCCTAAATACACTCATACCCTCTATGGTGTCTTGAGTGCCAAAACAAAAACCTATTTGACACCTTTACCTTGATCAACCTTGTTTTTGTTTTTCTCTTTCTTCTTTTCAAGTTGGAGTTTGATCATCTTAAAACACATGTCCATCTCCATCTCCATGGACTTCATCACTATACTCCATCAATTGGTATGTACCAATCTTGCTCACATAACACTCATGACAAAGGTTAGTACTTATGTTTCATTAATTAGCCAAAACCAAACTAGGGCTTTCACCCACCTTGGCTCGTGCGTGGCCATCCGATGCCGCTGCGCCACCCCAGCTCGCAGCGCCCACCTGGCTCGCGCACGGCCGTCGTCCGCCACCGCCATCTATGGATGAGACAAACTTCTGTCTAGCGTCAAGTTGTACACCGTCGAGAGCGAGAAGAACTCGTCCATGTTCTCGCCGGTGGCCATGCTCAAGCTCCATCCCACCGGTCACCGTGGCCATCGATGCCCATCAGCTTGCAGCTCCCCTAACTGCATCTTGGTGGCGTCATCATGCGCCGTCGCGTGTGGAACTCGACGTGCTCGTGTGGTGGAGGAGAAAGAAAACTGGAGCAGAGGTTCCTTGGGTTGGACCTATGAATGATTGAATAGATCCAAGAATATAGAATTTGCATTGTGGAAGAGCAGTTCCCTGACACAGTGTCCTAGACCATAGAAACCAGGGACGAAGCTACATGTAAATTAGGGGGGTTGCATGCACCCCTAAAAATTGTAAAAACAGTTATTAGGTTCAAAATTTCACCATATATGCACCCCCATATGAATGTTATATATATATATATATATATATATATATATATATATATATATATATATATATATATATATGAGAGAGTATATTCAGTAGCCAGCTACAAAATAAGTTACTCTGTAGCCACCTCCATTTACAATAATTTTATATACTAATTTACGATAATGTCAATACATATTTACGATAGTTGGGTTACTATAACATATGAGGATATTTACCATAACGTTATAGTAAACAACTTAGTAAGGAGTTACTATAATCTCGTAAATTAACATAGTAATTATCGTAACTCAAAGTAACTACAGAATAAGTTATTTTGTATTTGTAGCCAACTTAATATATATATATATATATATATATATATATATATATAGTATATTCAGTAGCCAGCTACAAAATAAGTTATTCTGTAGCCACCTCTATTTATGATAATTTTATATACTAATTTATGATAATGTCAATACATATTTACTATAGTTGGATTACTATAACATATGAGGATATTTATCATAACGTTATAGTAAACCACTTAGTAAGGAGTTACTATAATCTCGTAAATTAACATAGTAATTATCGTAACTCAAAGTGACTACAGAATAAGTTATTTTGTAGCCAGCTACATGGTAGTATATATATATATATATATCCAAAATTGACCAAAAAAATACTGAGTAGTACTGAATCACATTCAGCATCAGTCAGTACTACACCCAGTACCTCGAAATACTGAATGATACTGAAACGCGAATACTGAACAGTGCTGATTTCTGTTCAATATAATAGTTTGGTGTAGAATAATAGGTGTAGAATAGCACGTGTATATACCTATGGGTAGTAGGGGCAAACGCAAGTTACACGTGCAGGCGAGACGTGACGCTGACACGTATTTGTTGACCTCAGTCAATTGTGGACACGCGTAGCACAGACAAATTACATTATTCTTGCACTTCAGCGTTCAGTGGAAAGCGATGAAGCTCACGATGGCGTCAATCAGCTTCTGCGTCCGCTCTCCTGTGCTGGGGCCCATGTCAACGGCGAACTTGTTGAGGTAGAATGCATGGCCCATGCCACGGTTGAGCAGCACCTCCGCCTCCTTACCGGCGGCACGCAGCGCGTCGCGGTACTCGAGGTTCGTATCGCGGACGAGGTCGTTCTCGGCGACGGCCACCAGCATCGGCGGGAGCGGCACGGACTCCAGGGGCGGCCCCTGCGGACCCATGGGGCACGTGAAAGGGTGCTCCTTGGTGGCGCCAACCGGCAGCGCCATGGCGTTGCACTTGTCCAGCATGTCCAGCGTGAAGAACACCGAGTCTCCCACCTCCAGCTCCGATCGGCTCCTTGTTGCGCGCATGAATCCTGGCTGGATCAGAACGCAACCGGCGACGCACAGGGGCGCCCAGATGCCAGCGCCGTCCTGGCCCACACGCGCGGCGGCAAAGTGGCTGATGTTAGCGCCAGAGCTGTCGCCGACGAGGAACACCCGGGAGACGTCAGCGGCTTCACGGAGGAGCTTATCTGCCTTGTCAGCAAGAGCTCCGTCCTCCGACAAGCGGCGACGCCCGTGTCGATGTGCGCAGGCAGGCGGCGCTCGGGCGCGAGCGGGAGCTCGACAGAGACGACCACGGCGGGTACTGCACACGCGAGACGCGAGTAGAAGTGGTGGTACATCACCCAGGACGGGTGGGAGATTAAGCAGAAGCCGCCGCCGTGGAGGTGTACGATGACGGGGAGGCGCCCGCCCTTGCGGCCGCGGCCGTTGACCTCGGGGAGGTAGATCCGGAAACTGGGGTCCCCAGGGAGGTCGTGCAGCGTGTGCCCGTCGCGGGGCACGGCGTACGGCGCCACGGGCTGCATCATCGGGAGGACCTCGGGCGGGCCGGTCCACGTGCGGTCGACGCTGCCGTCGTCCAGCACGCGCAGCCAGCCGGACACCTCGTCCACCACCTTGCAGCCTTACTTGAGGAAGTAGAAGAGAGGTGTGAATTAGGTGACGGCAATCATAGTTAGCACCTTAACTAAGACTTGGATAGTGCAATATCCTGAACTAAGGTCCTTCCTTGGATTCACATAATGGGAAATTAAGGTAACGCTTGGTTGAAGAGTGAGGTGAGATAGCAAGGCTCCATTATTCTTGTTTTTTTAAAGGATGGGATGGTTCCATCCTAGTTTCTAAAAATAGGATGGCTCTATCCTGACACTGGTCCCATTGTCATTATCATGTCACAGGTAGGATTGCAGCATTCTAGATATTTTCTAGGATGAGTTCGTCCAACATCTATAGAAATATTCTCATTTGTAGTTATTTCATCCCTTCTCGGCTGCCAACCACACACGTTAAACTAGAAAGGGATGATCCTACCTCGTCCTATGAACCAAATATACCATAAAGTTCTAGCCTTAACTCAAGTTGATAAACCAGCTAGTCCAATCAAATCGATTGACTTCCCCAAGCTGTTGACAGAACACAAAAGATAATATTGTCACCGTTTTACTAGGTTTGCCCCTGTAAACAAAACCCAAGTCAAAGAGTGTTTGAATTGGATGAGTTGACGGTGCTCTGCATGCACCGGAACTGTTTGGTGGGGCACCGGACATGCACAGTGCCCTGGTTTTATGTTGAAAATTAATAGGACCGGCACATTGATGTCCGGTACGTGTGCACCGAACAGGTGGCCCTGTGCCGTAGTATGGGCGTGCACAGTGTTGATGCACTCACCGGACGTGTCCAGTGCTGCACCAGACTGGTGCACCACAGTATTCTACCAGAGAGCATTGCAAATGCTTCCTCGGCGGCTTGTACTCACCAAAGGTACATGTCCGGTGAGCAACGGACTTGCCCACTGAACACGCTGTATAATAACCGCTAGTTGTCAGAACTAGCGATTGGAGCCTCACTGGACATGTCCGGTGCCGAGACCAGGACTGCATCGGACAGGTCTGATGCTCATGTTTTCTATGAGTGGAGGGGCAACGGCTAGTTCCTTGGCTTGGGGCTACAAATACTCTTCCATCTCGTGCATTGAGTTTCTCTTAGCATTCTGAAGTTTCACCTACACCTTTGTGTGTCCAAGAGAGAGCTTTGGCCTATTAGCATGATTTGGATTTGCTAATTCAAGATTAAGGACTTCATTAGTGCTTAGAGAGTAGCAAGTGTGCATCCATTCTTCTCATTAGGCTTGGTTAGGTTAAGTGAGAGTTTATGCTTGTTACTCTTGCTGATCAGTGTCACCTAGACGGCTTGGTGGTGTTGAAAGCTTGATGATCTCTTGCGGGCGATTCACCGTGCCGCAATGGTGAAGAATCAACCCATATAGAGCACTTGGTCTTTGCTTGGATCAAGGGGGAACTATACCCTTGCACATTTGCTCCAATGAGGACTAGTGGGGAGTGTTGACTCTCCGTCTCTGATACCTCGGGAAAACATCACCGTGTTTCTAACCCTCTCTTTACTTTGAGCATTTACATTTGTGCAATTAATTTCATGTGTTTATATTCTTAGCATTGCCATACTAGCATAGAGTTGGAACTAGGGTGCAAAACTTTGTGAGTAGGCTAGAAACGTAATCTAGGCACAAGGGGTGAAATGTGCTAAGTGAAAGGTTTTAATTTCGTGACAATTTTAGATTACCTCAACCCCCCCTAGGCATCTTGATCCTTTCGACATTGAGTGTTTATTCTTGTGCATGCTTTGTGTGACCTTTAACTTTGTAGATTAGCTTAGACTAGTTTATAAGATTAGCTCGGACTAGTTTATAAGATTAGCTCTATGTTGCTGAACTCTTCGTGGATTTAAGGAGCAAGTGTGAAAGCAAATTAGAAAATCTTAGCGCATCTTGCTAGAACTAGTTTATTAGTTTTCAAGTAGTTTTACTTGAGCCATAGGTTTAAGTTTTTTCATTAAACACACAATTCCACCCCCCTCTTGTTGCTGGGGGGAGCTTTTCAATGGCGTTGATGACACAACCATGTGGTCAAGGTTGAAGTAGTTATTGTATTTTATAAATTGATAGAGCATATTATAATCATTTAGACCTTTTCCACTAAGTATCTACATTATTCTACAACCTAACTATATTGATATATTTCAAAATATAAATAATATTTTGTATTTTCTAAAACTAATAAAACAGTTTCTTTTGCGCTAATTTAAATTTAATTCCCTCCTGTGCAAGTTGATGTTTAATACTCATATATGCATTTGATATCTATATCTATCTATATCTCTTATAAAGATAAACTCCACTAGCAATTAATTTTGCCATACAAAGTGTCCACATGAGCATCCACTAGAACATCCCACTAGCACATTCAACTATCTCGTCATGCAAAGTGTCCACATCAACATCAACTAAAACACATTGAACTAACGCATGCCATTATGTCTTCATTCAAGCTATTTGCATTAACAAACCACATCATTTACTAACATATACTAGTCCTTCAGACGCGCCCATGCGCGCGGGCCACTGGCAACGGGCTGACCAATGGCGAGACGACAACGTCCTGGGCGCATCAGGGCTCTGACCAGACGACGCCTACGCCCGTCGGTCAACGCAACGAGAACCACCCATCACGACTTGGACGGCCAGCATTCCATTTGCTATCGTGGACAGCCTCAGCGCGCGTGCTGGCCACAACAAATGTAAACTTTAAATTTAGTTGTCCATATCATAATACTAAAAATCATCCACTAACATATATTATGATATTTATTCAATCATATTAGTAAATATAAGTAGTATAAGTTCACCAGCGATTCCCGCAGCAACGCGCAGGGCATTTTTCTAATTTTCTTATTGTTTTAAGGCAAATACTGATTTTACTAACATGGGCATGCAGTTCCGCCTCCACGAGTTCATGTACAAATATTATCACATTGCAGATACTTCTCGGTTCATGTAATAGTTGTCTCAGGGAACTGTGCAGTATTCAAGAATCAATGCAGAAACTTAATACACCAGAAAAATTGAGACCCAGCACAATGTCTATTAGCTATTACATATAAGACTAAGTGACTAACGTAGTCAATAGAACCCTCTTTAGCTATCATTTTAAATTTTACCATCTCGTGTCCTATATAGTAAGACAAGGCTTGTGACAGAGAACAGATTAGCAAATAAACCCACAACAGTGGCATCCACTTCTTGTGAACATAGGACGAGTCTTGACTCATGACCAAACATTTCTGCTCGTGTCCACAGACCTGGAGGCCATATGTCAGTTTCAAAAGCTGTTATAACCTCCAAACCACACATAGTGGACAGTCTCTTTCTCCTTTCTTAAAGACACTGAAAGGTTGTGCGATTTCAATTTGTGACCATCATGCTTTATCTCTATCAACCTGTCCATATCATCTCAAGAAGTGGTTTCCTCACATTTCACAATACAGTAACACGAAACACTGAGCCTAACTATTGTATACTCACGCTGAGTTGCCAATGCATCTCATTCCCTCTTTCTTCCACTATTGTATACCGTACTCTATTCTCTTTACCCTTTAATTTAATGCATACACTGCAGTAGTGAGGTGTGTGCCCCAACAGAGTAGATTTTGTTCAAGCACTTCAGACTCAATTGCTTGTTATATGGAACCTATCAGCATCTAATTCAACTGAACTATATCCAGGAAGCTTGTTGACTTTAACTTCTTTCATGAAGCCTCTTATTCTCTCTGCATCACTATACCTCCCAGCATCTGAATATATGTTTGCCAAGCTCATATAGTAGCCACTCTTTCCAGGAGACATGTCCATCAATCTCTTTGAAACCAATTCAGCAAACTCCATTTCTCCATGCACTCGGCAGGCTGCCAGTACACCTCCAAGCATGGCCTCGTCGGGCTCAAAAGGCATTTCCTCTATGAGCTTCACAGCCTCAACAACATGCCCTGCTCTCCCAAGCGTGTCAGCCATACAAGAGTAGTGTTTCAGTTCAGGCTCAATACCCCACAGTTTCATCCCCTTGAAGATTGCATATGCTTTGTCCACCATGCCTGAATGTGCACAAGCTGACAATGCCCCAAGAAAAGTGACTAAGTTCGGTTGGATTCCTTCAGCTGCCATTCTATCGAAGAGTCTCAATGCAACATCAGAATGCCCATTCAAACCATGACCAAGTATCAGCGCACTCCACGAGATAACATCCCGCCTAGGCATCCCAGCAAATACCCTCTCGGCGAATGCAAAGTCCCCACACTTGACGTACATATCCACAAGTGCATTCCCAAGGGACAGTGGAATCCCTAGAAACCTCCGGAAACAGCAGGCGTGCACACTTCTTCCATGGCGGCGCCACCCGAGCTGCCCACAAGCGAGAAGCAGACTGACCATGACCACCGCGTCCAGCTCTATCCCTGCTGCCACCATGCTACCAAAGAACCGCAGCGCCACGTCTGGTTCCCCTCCCTGCGCGTAGGCGGACAGCATGGAAGTCCACAGGACCGCGTCCCGCTCGCGCATTCCGTCGAACAGCCTACGCGCGTCCAGGAGGTTCGACAGGCCCGCGTAACAGAGCACGAGCGCAGACGCCACGAAGAGGTTTTCCTGGGCGCCGAGCTTGACGACGAGCGCGTGGGAGGTGGAAGCTAGGCCCGCGGCGCCAGTGAGCGTGCAAGAGCGGAGCACGGGGGGCAGGGTGAAGTGGTCCGGCCGGACGCCCTGCGCGAGCATGTCCCGGAACGTGCGGAGCGCCTGCGCGGGGCGGCCGGAGTGCGCTAGCGACGCGAGGAGGGAGTTGAAGGAGGCAAGCGCGGTTAGCGATTGCCTGCTGGGTGCTGGCAACGCACCAAGGACCGCCGTCTCGCCGGCCGCGCGGCAGGGAGTTGGGAGCGACGAGAAGAAGTGGGCCTGAATCTGTGT